AATGATATTTATATATATATATACTTTTTTTTTGTCTCAGAAAAACTTTTTGCTCTATTGAGTGGCAAACACGCGGCTATTATACGATATTTCAAAACATAATTATTTAAATCTTTCTGTTTTGTAAATATATAATAATATATATTTACAGTAAATACAAATCCATTCTTTTACTTATAAGCCATAGATTTCTTACCAATCGTTAAGAAGAATTGCTTTTTTCTTTTTTTTTGTTGCTTTAATTCTTATACAGAAAGAGAAAAGAAAGCAAAATATGTATTAATAAATATGACATTTATTCCCATTTATGCCTATTTAGTATACAATTCCCATTGATGTTGATCTCCTGGTATTTTATTTTGTAGATCCGGATAGTTTTGGTAGGTCTGTGCTCTGCAAATATGCTTAATATGAGCCTCACTTACGTCGATCGAGTTGTTTATCAAAATTGCATTCATAATCAATAAATACTAAATATTTATACGTGTTTTTGAGTGAATGTCAAAATATTATTATTAGTATTATTATTAAATAACACCTACTCTTTTCATTTAATATGTTTGAGTTGTTTATACCCGTAGTCTGGGATTTATGTGATTATAATACAGAGTATTGTGTGTGAAAAATGAACACAAAGTAATAGTCTTATTATTTCTAATACTAATACTAATAATTGTTTTGATTCCCAATACAAATATTATCTAAACCTGTCTCTCACTCTTTCTTTCTGTCAATTTCTCCCTGTGCTCTCACAGACTCTCCACTGAGTCCCAGTGCCATCAATAACAATGTTTTTATCATTTAAATGGCAAGACTGACGCAGCAGTTACGTCAAACAACTCTCAAATGTAGGCTTTTATGACGACCTCTCTAAACTCATCTCAAGTAAGTTATATCTAATCTCTCTCTCTCTCTCTCTCTCTCTCTCTCTCTCTCTTTCTCTCTCCTCTACTATACTCTATTCTACTCTATTCTATTCTACTCTACTCTACTCTACTCTAACTACTCTCTGTTTTATCCAAAAGCACCGATACTTGTTGTTTATCTCAAATGTGAGTCTTTCTCAATAATGATTAATATTAACAATCGCATGTTTGTTAAGTTATAGTAAATGTAAACTTAAAATAGCTAAACAAATCATAGCAATGATTAGTCGGCAATGCTTTTTGTTTACAATGAACTTTAAGTGAATTATCAGCAAAACATTTGCTAAGAGAGGAAAAAATATTGTCCACATCTTAAGGTGAATTAATAATGTCGTTTCAGACGTCAAATGTGATATTTTCTACGAATTCTAATAAAAACATGTTTTCAATATTTCCAATATTAAGACTCTAACACACACTTTAGGCATAAGGATGAGAGAGAGAGAGAGAGAGAGAGAGAGAGAGAGAGAGAGAGAGAGAGAGAGAGATTTAAATCTGATGTGATGTGTGGGTCTAATTCATTGCCAGTAAATGCTGACCTTATCTGCATATAACTGTAATTACTATTTTTATGCATGATTTTTGCCACTGCTATTGCAAAACAATATTATTATGTATACAATATTTTTTATGTTTATAACATAAAACGCCTTTATATTGCATGTGTTATACAGTGATTTGAATAAATGCCACAAAAAGCTGATAATTATACTGTATATATAAAAAAAGTCTTATTATATATGAAAAGATTTTTTTGTGTACTAAAAAAATCAGTGAATATTAGGTGAAAAAAATATATTCACAAAAAACAGTCGCTATGTTTACACATTACTATTCTTGGATCCGTATGATTAGCACCGCTATTCATTGGTGTTGTTTTTTTTATAAAAAAAATCTCTGAGCCCTAAATATGTATTGAAAATATATAGCGGTGTGGCAGTGTTTTCAGCACAGGTATCTGTCTATTACATGGCATAGCGTCACAATTGTCAGGTTGACATTCAATATTCATCACTGAATTGATCCAGGTCCATTGTAGACCTATTGTCATTACCATTGTTATGGTGGGCGTTAAGTTGCATTGCGATTAACAAACAAAAAAGTCTGGCGCTTCGGCACAGGGCTACTTATTATTCATTTTAAAACCCTATTTTCAATGCCTTTGGTTTTTTAATACGGAATTTAACGATGAATGAGTTGCAAACCAGTATGTTTGGGCACTGAGAGAACCCCATCTAAAACATATAATAAAAAACTTTTTTTTTGCGATTGAATTGATGCCAACAAAAAAATGTGTGGCAAAGAAATGGACCGAACGAATGGCATAACTGGTCACTCAATGGTCACTGCATTCCATATTTCATCCGATCGTTTGCCAAAATCCGAGACCTGTCTCGAGGTCTTGAGGCCAAAGCTCAGGGTTAAGGCAAGCATTAAGTGAACACAAAAGGATAGGCAAAAATATATCGACTGAGTTATGAGTTTCTGAGAGAGAGAGAGAGAGAGAGAGCAATCGTGGTGCCAGTGCTTAGAGTGAGGGAGAGATTGCACGCAATGAACAATATTTCAATGCATTTATTAGTTATGTTTTTATTCAAAACTTTTTTCACTTCAATTGCTTTTTCATTCCTTAGGAGAAATTTATATGAGTTATGCATTGAATTTGAGTTTTCATGTGTTTGTTTGTTTGCCACATATACTGTACTTTACTTATTATTTACACTCATATACTTCACTACACTTTGTTTTGAAAATTAAAATTAAAATATAATGATTTTTAGTTGAATATACTGGATATCCAGAACATATAATTAATCTAAGCTCACACACACACACACACACACACACACACACACACACACACACACACACACACACACACACACACACATCTAATTATATTTAATATTTAAATTACTATTTATTTTGATTAATAATAAATATAATTTTTAAAATTACAATGCCTATTTAGTGATAATTAAATGTTTATATTGTATATAAACACTGGTATGTGTATGTAATAAACAAACAAAATTTTTATTCCGATCTGTATTTGCTATTATATTATATTTCATATAATAATAAAAATTTATCATAAAATAGAGTAAAATGAAATATACACTATTGATACCAAAATAAATAGACTAAATACTAATGCTTCACATTTTAATTCACTATATTTTCACTACATTATTATATATAATATATCAATTGTGTGTGTGTGTGTGTGTGTGTGTGTATTTTAAAAAACATATGCTACCTTACAATATATATATATATATATATATACCGTATAAATAAATTGATAGTGCTTTTGTAATAATATAATAAAAATAGTAGTAATAATGTGTTATATTTTTCTAGTAGTGAATGACGTTATATGCTATATAATTTTATATACAAAATAAAAAATTATTACTATTTTTTGTTATAAAAATAACACCAAAATTTTAATATTTATTTATAAAATAAAATAATAATAATGTTAATGATAGAAAAGTATAGTATTTTTAAGCACATTAATAGTTGATTATAAATGTTGAGATGGAGTTAAATAATTGAAATGTTAAGCTATAGCTAATTAAATATAATATAATAATAATAGTCTTTCGATTCAATAACTAAGGAGACGGTCGACAAGTTTTAGTTTTGGTTTGTTGTTTATATATGAATACAAAATATTACAATTAAAAAGCAAATAAATGAGAGAAAGAAAAAAATATTTATTTTTATTCAACTCTCGTTTTTTATGTGATAATATCAATGGATAACACAAATATAAGTCTGTTTGAGGCAAACCATGTATTTTATTATTATCACAAAAACTGAGTGTATATTTCATTTGTTTTATTACTGTAGTGTTTCAAGTGTTTCTATATATTATAAATATCTACTGTATATACTAATACAGTACATACTGTATGTATTCCGTGTGTTATATATATTATATTATATTTATTTCAAGTGCTGGTCGTGTTGTTTATCGCTGTGTTGTTCGCCTCCAACTCCACCACCAATGCATGTATTAAATATTTTTATTTAAAGAGAGAGAGAGAGAGAGAGAGAGAGAGAGAGAGAGAGAGAGAGAGAGAGAGAGAGAGAGAGAGAGAGAGAGAGAGAGAGAGAGAGAGAGAGAGAGAGAGAGGCTCTTTAATTGATAATAAAGTTAATAACTGATTGGCAAAAAGGTAGCGATAATTTTCATGTTCACCAGTTTTGAAGGCCACTAGTAATTGAGTCTCATTTTACAATATTTTTAAACATTAAGTCCAACGATACTCCAATGTTTGTAACTCTATCAATGTTTTTAATATTTTTATTAATTATTATTATTATTATTAAAAATTGATAAGAACTTAATATGTCTTTATTATTAATAATATTATTAGTGCTTATAATCTATAAGTGAAATCTCTTATATTTATTAGCAATTATAGCTAATATGAGAACTCCTCTAAAGTGTCTTAACTTTTTTTGCAAATATGTTTGCATTCAATGCTAACGTATGGCAAGTGTTTTCCTAAATGCGTGAATGAGTTTGTATTTAAACTCTATCGCTCTCTATCTATCAGTCTATCTCTATATCTATCATTTTATCTTAATTTTTTAAATATCTAAAGCAAACATATTTACGGTTATTTTTGTTTGTTTGTGTGATTTGTTTTTCTTTAGACAATATTAGCCGATTTGAAGCCAAAGTATGTTATGTTTTTTGGAGAGAGAGAGAGAGAGAGTTTAATTGAGAGACAGTGAAAGCAGTCATAAAATAGTTGTGATTATTAGTTGAGAGGGAGAGGAGAGGGTGAGACTGATTAATAAAAGTTAGATATGATATGAGAAATGATGTGTAGTATTGGTATACTGTATGTATTGTACGGTATTGATAGCACAGTTAGCTCAAGCATAGTGCTGTAGGTATGAGTATGAATGTGTAATACAGTATGTAATGAATCAAAAGACATACACATGTGATAGTTAATAGTAATGCAAATTTAAAGTCTTGTCCGTATGTTTTATGCCATACTTGCAGACCATCAGCACAGGTAGTTTGAGGCCCGTTCACAGTCTAGAGATGACTATTTAAATAACACATGAGGTATGGTATGAAAAGGAACGACAAGTTCGTATTGGATCCCATCTCTGACTGTCACTCCCTATAAGACGAGTCTATTGCTACCAATGGTAAGGTATGACTGATCGGTGTCTGCAACCAATGAGAAGAAGGAATTGACTGCTCGTCTACTTTACGATTAATCAGTGATCTCAAGGATCACCAAATATTTGATGTCTTATTAGTTTGAGTTTCACTTCTGAAAAGTGTGTGACGAGTGCTGTGACTCCGCAATAGTCACCATAAGTGATGCCAACAGACATATCACTGATCCATAGAGACATCCAAACTGTTTGATAACATTTTGAAAACTTATAAATGAAGTGCAACTCAATTATCCAGTGATTGCTATTTAATATATAATTATTATAATGCAAACCAATACTATTGAAGGAACTGTAGTCCGTGAGGGCCGATGGATACCGAAGCCACTGTTTATACCACCAACCAATCTCCGAAAGTGTGGAAGTCTCGAGTCAGACCAGTCAACGCCACAGGACTCGCCGTTAGATCTGTCCATCAAAAGTCCCCGAAGTTTGGGCGACCGATTCATAAGCATAATCACCGAAAGTCTCACCTCAACGACTGCCACTTCAACTAACATTCCCTTATCTCCAGTCAACCTCTCAAGTAGTTGTGAAACACCAAGTGATACATCCAGTCCTCCAACACTTGTCTCATCACATCATTACAGTCACCCGCACTCACTGTCATTACTACCAATAAGTAAGAGAACATTCTTTAGTATGCCTTCACTGTCTCCCCGACCTCATCATCAAAGTCCGACCATTAAGTTTGAGCCGAGCAGTGTTCCGACTGCGGCCACCGCACCATTCCCTCGATCACCGATCGGTAGCGCAAGTTCTCCGCCAACACCTCACACACCAACTCATAATTTAGAGATCCCGACGACAATCGGTGCCAAACAATCACAAGAATTTTTAGTTAAAATAACGAGCGCTGACACCACTCCTGCAACAGACGTTGCTTACGTGTGTCCGATTTGTGGCCAAATGTTTTCATTGCACGATCGACTGGCTAAACATATGGCCAGTCGCCACCGCAGCCGCCAAAATGAGGCCACAGCTAAATCATACGTTTGCGATGTTTGCAAGCGATCTTTTGCCAGAAGCGATATGTTGACCAGACATATGCGATTACACACTGGTATCAAACCATACACGTGCCGCGTCTGCGGACAAGTTTTCTCACGAAGCGATCACTTAAGTACTCACCAGAGGACACATACCGGCGAAAAACCATATAAATGTCCGCAGTGTCCGTACGCCGCTTGTCGTAGGGATATGATTACCAGACATATGAGGACTCACGCCAGGTATGAGCTGCCGGACAGTAGTTCAAGTTTTGAAGACATCACTGACTCAACACATTCACTGTCACAGCGTTCAAAACTTGTGACTAAAGAAGAGATGACATCTATGCTCAACAAGAAAGCCATTTGGCGTCCAATTTGACCAAACATTTGCTAACAATTGTTGTTAATTTCAATTATATTTTTCTAACAAAAAGTTAACGTAATCTATAATTTTTAATTTATAAATATTTCATAATAATTATTTAACTTTTCTCTCAACTATTATAGTTAATTCTATTTATTTTAGTACAATATGTATAATATTTAAATATAAATATCATTTATAATAGTAATTAATGTTATTTATTTATAATAATTAATTTATTAGCGCCGAACTCAACATATTAAATGTTAGACTCATATAAGACAAATTAGTTAATACGTTTATATATGATTATAAAATATTATATATAAATTTGTAATTTATTAAGAAATCTCCGAAATCTTAATGTCTAAATTTTATAACTATTGAAATATGATATATACTGTATATATAACTTATAAATATATATTTTGCGCAAATTATTGTTACTTATTATAGCTGAGGCTGAAAAAACCAAGTGATTCATAAATTACAAATAGTGCCATTATGTGTAATGTGTGCGATAAATGTAATTATAATTATTTTTTTTTTAAATATAGAGACTAATTAAATTGTAAATTAATTGAGTTTAAACACAGATATACACAAAAAATATATTAGAAATATTTTTAGTGAAAATAGAGTATATGTTGTTGTTGTAAATGATACTTTAGTTTTGTAATTATTTTTCAGGTGAATTCAGTGCCACAGCTTTGCTGTAGATATTTATTATTATCATAAAAATATCTATCGTATGTTTAATTGATATGATTATAAATTATTGTTAACAGTAGTATAACATAACACAACAATATTTCTATATACACTGTATAAAGTGATTCATATGATTTTGGTGGCTGTTATTGCATATACAGTACTGTAGATATTATTATTAACTTATAGAAGTTATATTTATTACACAATAATTATTTTTATATTTGTTTTTCAAACCTAATATACGCTCATTTACTATCAAAAAGATACTTTTTATTGCATATACCTTAAGGTATATTAATATTACTGTTTTAAGAGCTATTGATATAAAGAAATATTATTCCCAATGATTGTGTTATTATTGTAATATATTTTTCTAAAAAAAATTTAATGTATATTTTTAAATATCTTCCGATCTGTAACTGTAATTAAATTATAAAACGATGATAATAATGATTATTATTATTATTATTTATTATTATTATTGAGAAAATTCTTTTATAATTAGTTAAAGAATTTCTCATAAATATTGGTAAATATATATTTATAATTATTGTAAAGTATAAAAATAAACAAAATATTGATAAATATTTGCTCAACAAAAACAAAAATATTTATTTAATTATCTGTATAATTAAATGATCTCTAAATTATATATTTATGTAAATAATTGTATCAACAAAACAAAAAGAGACCAAAAACCTTTTTTTTAAACAATAATAAATAAAATTAAGTTTATTTAATATTACAATAAAAAAAAGTTTTATGTTATTATTTTTATGTTTTTCATATGTTGGTGTTTGTCAGTCATAATATGCAATCAGGTGTTGACTCACATACACACCAAACCACAGCAATCTTTTCTCTGACAGCACTGATAGCTCATAGAGCGTCACCATTGAGTCTAAAGAGACAATAATCTGATCTGTGATATGTTGTGTCACTCGCATTGCATGAATTGACGGTAATATACTGTAAATAAAAACAATATGAAAGAGTATCCAAAAAATGTTTTAATTATTACATAAAAATGACGGTAAAGTATCTCTTATTTGGGATGTTGGGGTCATATATGACGGTGCAAAGTGCACAGGCATTGGCAATATTAATGAATATCTGGGCTCAGAGACTAACCTGAGCTAAGCTGGTGGTGGTTCAGGTGCTCTCCAAGAATTTCAGATGTGATCAGTGAAGCTAATCAAAGCTAATCGAAACAAATGCTTTAGTAAAGCAATACTTAATAATAATAATAATAATAATAACATTATGAAGAGCCTACTCATGACTCTCATGACTCTCACTCCCGGGTCTTCTATATATAGAGAAGCTCTCTATTATTAAAGCATATAATATATATAATATGTGAAGAATATATGTAGTAATGTAAGTCCTATAGAATTTGTAACAAATTCACTGCTTCTGTAATTTTTTTGTTATTCGTTTGGAAAAACTTTATAAAAAAGTCGTGAAAATGTTTTCTCTGGTCTGAAAAATAATGTATTTCTCTCTCATTCTATATGAATGTATGCCTATCCTGGAGTATATAGACTCGAATGTAATGAAACTAAACTGTCTTTTCCTCCTTCATAGTGAAGGAATGCCTTTATATCTCCCCCACTGCTGGTAAATATCTTTCCACAGCCTCTGACCTGCTTCTGGAGCACACGCAAGGTTGAAAAGTTATCAGAGGGTGTGGGTATACAACTGGAAACAGGAGGTACTGATCACGATTCGGTAGCTGACATCGGCTTGTAATTGGAAATCGTATAATTTAACAGTTGCCTCAAGCACTAGTAGATAGCAATCCATGAACCTAGACATCCAATATAAAATAGTTGATTATTAATGCAAAACGAAATATTCAAATTAATAATAAAAATTTCTTATATTTTTAATTAAATTTGGTTTATATAAGCAGTTTATATAACGATAACGTTAATAATGAAACTGAATTTATGACTTAAATTAGTTAACAAACTTTTATTTATATCGCACACTAAAATTCATTGCCTTTTAAAAACATTTTGTTGTGTAAAGTCATTAAGTTTTTCAATTGATTTTTCTTAATGTTTGGGTCTTTTCGTTGAGAAAAAACCACTACAAAAATAAGACGCTGTTGTGTGTGTGTGTGTGTGTGTGTGTGTGTGTGTGTGTATGTGTGTGTGTGTGTTTGTGTAGTAAATATATAGCTTTAGGACGAAACAAGCACTTGTAGACAGCCTTTTAATATCCACCCAATGGTCCGCCCGTCTAATGATTACATTAAGATTACATTCACTATAAACACAGTGTTTGCCAACAAAACTTACAAAACATTTTTAAAAACATAACATCCATTCAGATATTATTGAAAGACAACTTAAATGCATATATTTAAAAAATGTACAGAAGAATATTTAGTATTTGTGTGTTATGTTTAAATTTACCGCAAAAATATTTGATATTATTTAGATAACAGGTATATATATATATATAAGTTTGGTGAGCGCCTGGATGTAAAAAATAATTGACTTGCGAGGCTAAAATTAGAAATCCAGGGGCTCTATTAGAAATAGACTAAAGTGCATGATTGCTGCATTGGACAGTTAAATACAATACTTAAAATGATCGATATTTAAAAAAAATATTTATACAAATATATATACATATATATGAAAGAGACTTATAAGCCATCATATATATTATTCCACACAATATTAATCCACATTTCACGCGTTATCGTCCATAACCAACAACAATACATTCCTATGTGAGTCCGTGAACTAATCGTGACTTGTATTAGATATCGTTAATATCGTGACAAATAGGTAATCTCTCAGTGGTGGTGGTGGTGGAGGTAGTGGTACTGATCCCATGGCATATACAATATCTTACACACATTTTCTTCTCTAACGTGTATATACCTCTCAACCAGTTATAAAGACTAATAAAATATAACTCACGACACATACAGCACACACACACACACACACACACACACACACACACACACACACACACACACACACACACACACACACACACACACACACACACACACACACACACACACACACACACACACACACACACACACACACACACATAGTAATGATTGCATACTTAAAAATCTCTCAAACCTACAGTCAAACAGAGAAATTCACAATAATTTAGCCAAAAAAAAAACTTTTAAGATTTGTTGTATTGTAAGACAAGTTTAGACCACTTGCTGTTAGCATTTCATTCATTCTCTTAAATAAATTATTAAATTGAAAGTAGTTTTGAGTCGGCATTTGCCTCCAAAAAAAAGTGATGCATTATATCGTACGGCAATTGCATTACTTTTCTACGATATATTGTTTGGTCACTAATATGCCGGTCGACTGTCCGATAGAGAATGGATAGCATCGGTTGCACCTATTGGTAGTCTCATACAAATCACAAGCTTACATATATTAGGCATTAATCACTTACATCACAATATATTGAAAACTATTGTTGTTGATTGCAAATGAGCTCAGGGATGACTTTCATGAGTACTATTAGAGGAGTGATTCAACGCCAACAAAAAAAAGTTTTAGTGGACTCTCTCTTTCTTTCTTTCTTTCTGTCCTTTATTAGTCTTTCACTAGTTATCAATAGCTACGTTGGACATCACTGGACAGCACAGGAAGAAACCTTTTAACTCATTGAATAAACTATTTGTGTGTCTGTCCATCACTCATAGCCATCTATAGAGGGCTATTTCCACACCTGTCCAGCTCTTCTACCCTATTATGCAACCAAAGTTAAAATATTGCACTCAATTTGAATGCTAGACGAGGACAGTGAGCTAAATATAGTGACTCTAAATAATACAGCACTCAATTCAATGGACATTAATGTCCTAACCTATGAATGGACACAAAGCTATTGAAGTATTGATGTTATGACACAAACATTATATCAAACAAAAAATCCATCAGTAAATGCATTTTTATATGATTTCAATAGTTTTCAAATATAATATTATTTATTTTGCTTATTATTATCAAGTCTTTCAAAACTTCAAATATTTTATCTTTTAAAATGAAATCTTTTACATAAAAAAAATCTTCTCTTCATATATAATAATAATAATACAAATATTCAATATTCAATAAAAAAAATTACAAAAGATATTATTATTAAATGTATAATTTGAATATATATTGCATATATGATGTAAATTTATATGATATTTGTGTTAATGCTATATTTGTTAAAATTTAATGTTAAGAAAAGTCATTTAAAATAAATTACAAATATTAGTAAAATATACCATAAAGTATATGATACTGTATAATTTTTTTTGTATTTATTTTTCCAAAAAAAAATCCATATACTTTATATAATATAAATAATAAATGTATATTTCAATTGACACAAAAAATTATTGCATAATTTTACTAATTGTATAAAAACAATTAATTGATAAAATTATCTACACATTATAATTTGTATTACTTTAAAAGTAATATTTATAAATATATATATATATATAATTGTGGATAAATAAAATAAAAATCAGTAATCAATGTACTTAAAGATGTTTTGTATTAATTAGATCTCAAAATTTGGTATCCTCTTCATGAAAGGCCTCGTTTGCGATACCATTGGTGTTATTGTCATTGACTTGGTTTGGGTCCTCTTTATTAGTCTTTCCGTTCAAATGAGTACTTTTCTCTTCATTAGTGTCATTGTAAACGCTTGTTGTTGTTGTTGGTGTAGTTTGTGTGATGTGAAGGGGTCGGTAAGGGACATAAAAGTAAGCCATTATAGCGAACACAATCATATCGGCCACCATAAGACCGGCGAAGAAGAAAAATTCGTAGGACTGGAGGTAAAGTCAAGAAAAGTGTAATCAATAAGTTTAAAAGTCATGACATTTTAGTCTTTAACTTATTTCTCTCCCAGAGTTCTCCCTCTCTTTAAATGTCATATTATAAGCTATTTAAGTATTTTTATTTGTCTTACGTATAGTTAATTTTGACTTAAAAGTGCAAAAAATAAGTTAAGAATCAAAAAGAAAAGCGAATTCAGAGATAATGAATAATATTTAGTGTGAGTTTAAGGCTTAAAATAAAATAAAAAAGTCGATAATTAAGGCTCACATCTCTCTCACATATATTAGCCTTCAATGCATTCTCTCTCTCTCTCTCTCTCTCTCTCTCTCTCTCTCTCTCTCTCTCTCTCTCTCTCTTTATTGAAATCAAAGGCATTTTCTTCAGATGTAATCTCAAATGATTTTTGGAGTTTGTATTAGGAGTAGTAGTGGTAGTAATAGTGATAGCAATAGTTAGTCAGAGAGCCATTAAAACTATTTTATGATAGCATGAGAAAGTCCGGAGGGCATGACTGGCTCAGGTAGAGGTGGATGTGTTGGATATGCTGTGATGTGATGTGATGGGGGCAGACCGGCCACTGCTCTCACACATACATACATAAGATGCAAGATATAAGACCCACAACACTGGCTAATGCAATGAGTCTTTTATCTTAAAACTCAGTCAAAAAGGCCAGCAAAACATGTTAGTGCTCTCTCTCTCTCTCTCTCTCTCTCTCTCTCTCTCTCTCTCTCTCTCTTCGGGTCCCGACATCAAGTAGTCTAATGTTTGATTATGCATACAGTAGTAGTGGGCTCGGCGTCAATTGCAGGACTACCTTACTTTTGCAGACCTTTTCATTACCAGCCCATCCATTGATGGATAAAAATATTATAAATAATAAAAATAATTAATGCTTTTAATGCTTCGCCTCTTATTATTTGGAAATTAAGATTAACTTCTCAGACGTCTCTCTCATCTTAAATATTCTGCAATCTATCGTTGAATTATATGTTTAATTATATTCTCACAGATTGTTATATGTTTTTAAAAATCAAATGCAATTGCATTCACTGTTTTTTATCATTAAATACATAGGAAGTTAATTGTAGATATTTTTATGTTTAAAATAGCAAGAAATAGTTTAAAATAGTTTTGTTGTGCAAAATATACATTTTTGCCAATCAATTGTAAAAATTGTTAGTTGTAATGGTCTGTACATTAGTATTAGATGTGGCACTGGCTGTTAGGTTAGACTATGACTGTTGGCTAATACATAGAGAGACAGTGAGTTTGGTGTTCGGCTAATATCAAAGCTATTTGGATGGAAAGGCATCGAAACATATCAAGCATTTGGCAAAAAAGGTAGTGCCAAACAAATGTACAAAACTACAAACTATATAACTATAAGATATTAGTAGCGCTGAAAACATACAAATCATGTTTTCAGAGAGAGAGAGAGAGAGAGAGAGAGAGAGAGAGAGAGAGAGAGAGAGATGAGATGAGATGCCATAAGAGTTATTATTGAAGCCCTCCTCCACCTGTCAGAGTAGTGCAGACTTTTTATATTTGAATTGTTGGTTGTGTTGGCTATTATGTTGTTTAGCTGAGGGCTCTCTGAGCGAAATGTAATTAACCTCCGCTATAGCCGTGAGGGTGTAATCGCATTCATTTTGCTTCTGAACTTAAGAAACTTGTTTTAGTACACGAAATATATGTCTGAACACCACGTAATACACCAGCACTGGGCTATTGTGGGCGGGAATAAACGGCCGAACCAAGAGATGCCAGCGTAACGACCACTGAATAGCACTCCTTTAACTGGATTGCCATTTGTGTGCACCTCTTATAGCGACAACATCTTAACAGACAATACACAACAATTGCAGAACAAAAAAATGACTCCAATTATCATTAGAGCCCTAATGTTGTTCACTCTATTTGCTAGAAATACCTTTACATACTATACACCAGCCCTATCCCTATCCCTTTCCCCTATACCTACACCACCAGCGGCAGGCCTTACGCTAAGGTATGCACTACTCCTACACACAAATATATTGAAAAATACAATATACAGCTATTGACAGTAAAATTGGGCAAAGATTTTACAAAATGCAAATCAATACTTAATAGTCCTCTCGAGAGTGTCTTTGACGGTAAAATGCATTTAACTGTTAAAACATAAGAAATGAAAAGAGAAAAAAATGTTTTATTTATTGTCTCTTATTTTTGTTTCGTTTAAATTCAATGGTTTTCCGTAAAAGACTATTCAATGAGAAGACTATGTGGACTAACAAAAACCTAAAGAAATACAACAAAAAATAGTTTGCAATGAATTCCCATTTTGTTTATTAATATTATGCTAAACAATGCATACATTTTATGTTGGTATACAAGCAGTCACCGGGCAATCAATAAGAAAAATCGGTTTTTTGCATTTTATCAATGAATTTACAAAAACAAACCAAACACACATACACTCACATACAAACATCCATTAAAAATATCCATAAATTTAAATAAACTTAACTATTAGTTTAAGTGATTAGTATTTCGATGAGATGTTAATTTCAAATGTTTTTATGATTATATATTTATAAGTTTTTTATGAGTGATAACAATCGGCCGACACTTAAAATCGTTAAGTTAGTTGAACTGTAAATTAATTGATTCAATGTATTAAAGAGATTCTAGGTTTTTAAATGCTATATTAAAGGATCGCTTGTTTAAAGTGAAATAACTTCACTAATTTTTGATAAGATTTTCCATGAATTCAACGGTAATTTGTTTATATATATATATATATCAGGTATAAAAGACAAAAACCAGATTTTGCTAAAATAAATATTTTACATTTAATATATAGTATAAATCACCCAAAAATTAATTATAAGTTTTTTTGTTACCCAGAAATATCTCTACATTTTTATGTGGTCTCTAAAAACTAATTCACTCATTCACTCACTCATTCACTGACAGTCATATTTGGGGATAATTTCCAATTTTCATATGAAATAACAGCAAATAGTTTGGGCACTAATAGAAAATACCCCCCATTGGGTTGTCGGGGGAGTCATTCAGGTAAACGTTAAGTCAATTTTTCAAACTCAACACAAAAATCTCTTCTTTCTTATCGTTTATTTCCATCTCTTTAAAGACTTTGAATTTTTTTCATTTACTTATATTTTTCTTTTCATTTGATTTTTCAGTATTTCTGAGTAAAACTTTAATAAATTATTATTTTTGTTGTACTAAACAAAAAAAAAACGAGATTAAAATTAACTGACACAACAAAGGCATAACTAATATGACTTGAATTTTACAACTAATTTGTATCATTTTAACAGAGGGAAAGAAAGAGAGACAATATATAAATAAATAAATAAAAGAGAGAGAGAGAGAGAGAATTTTTTTTTTAAAAATTACTTCAATATATTAAATAATAATATTGTAAATCATTGAAGATTAATGTCAATGCAATTACTGATTATAATAAATACCGTAATGTTTTGAATGTTATCTCACCTGAACTTCAAATATACGGGCAGAGGATATGATGACAATTATTAGATTACCGAAAGCCACAGTCAATAGCCAGGCGGCCGTCAGTACCGCCTTCATGCTGGCCGGTGCCTGAAATTTGTTTTTATCATTAACTATATATTTCAATAATATGTCTATTTTTAAATGAATGTATATATTTTAAAGTAAAATCTTACACATTATAAGTTTTGGTTGATATAAATTACTAATTATTTACAAACTTTATTTTTTTCAAAATATACTATTTTCTTATACTGGTAATTTTTAATAAATAAATTTAATTAATTAATTAATTAAACTTTTTATTGCAAAATTAATATTAAATAAATTATAAAACTTAAACATTAAGTTTGCCATTTCTTTGTTAAAAATTCACCTGGCTAAAATTATCTAACTAGTTTCTATTAACAAATATAGTTATAAAATTAGATAGTATATTTTATTATTACAATATCTACGTTTACTCTGATATTGATAATAATTTAATCCTAAACATTAATAAACTGCAAATACAGGTCCAATTGCACTGTAAGATATTGCTAATGCCCTCCAATGGGTACTTTTCCTATTAAAACTGTAAAAACTTTTTTTAATGCTAATAAACTGTAAAACTTCTACTGTATAACTGCTTTTTATCTTAATTTAAGTTATTATCTTAGATTTAATTTTTTAGAAAATAAAATAAATACATTTATAAAAGTTTTTATCTTAAATGCAATTAATTACCTGAGAATAAGAAAACTCTAATCCAGTGATTGAAAACATGATTTCTCCGCCCGTTATAATCGAGTACTGAATTATTTGCCAAAACATTGAAACGGAATTAACTTTAACCACATTATGTGTAACCACTCGGAAGGTGTTCTGATTGTTGGTCAGTCATTCAAATGATTTTGTTTTAATTTTATTATTTTTTTAATATATAAATAAAATGAAAAAAATAAGCAAACCTTTGTGTAATCTCCGGCAACAATAATAATATAAGAGCCTCCCTGTCCAAACTGCAAATCAGTGGATACTTCTCTATCGCCACCACTTGTGGATCCGTTTCGCAACAAAAACAGCTCATACTTTCCGCCGCTTTTGACGTCGATATCACTCTTATAAGTAGTATAACCGGCGACACCGATACCATTGTCGCCCAAATCAAATGCTGACACCTGTTCTACGGAAAAAGCTTTCGAAAAGTCTTTTGTCTTAAACAAAAATCTCGGAACTGATGGATCGGTTACTAAGTCGACGTTCTTTAAATTGAATACAACGGCAGCGTTTGCACCGCCCTTATCAGTCTTACTCAAAATATTAGTAAAATTAAATATCTCGATGTTTGGATCAGCTGAACATATATTTTCGGTTATCATAAAGATGACTCCCGTATCAAACTTTCGGTTTACATCTACAGTATAAACCTTTTGATTACATCCCGGTATTATTGCATTTTCATCTAATGTTATCGTAAACTTAAGATTATTATTTAGATCATTAAGTTTAAGATTTTCTCTAATAAATAGATTATAGCTCTCAATTGTGGCATCTTTTTCAGGTATGAGCGGACTATCGATTTTGATGCTTGCGTTGAGACCGTTGACAACTGTCCAATGAATTTGATTGGGCTTTAGCTCAGGCGGTAATTCGCTTTCAATGGATAACTGGAAGAAACCGCAGACACAGAAGGCGATGGCCGCAAAAATACCGCCCGTAACGATGCGCTGAAGAGGTTTCCTTAAGAAATTGAATTTTGCGCACAACGGGTACACACCGTACTCGAAGATTGGTATAAACAATATAATTAATATGGGATTCACCACTTGAATCTGATCCGGTTTTATACGATATACACCAAAAAAGTTACCGTCCATTGTTGACGCTTGTAATGTCCATCGGGAACCCTAAACATCAGATTAGAATAAATAATTCATTATTTATTATATTTAAATAATTTTAATTTATGTATACATAAAGTTTGATATTATTTAAATATTTTAATTATTTATTTAAGACTTGGATGACAAACCTGTTGATCAAAAAGTGCCCAAAATATAGGAAGTGGTAAATATAGAAACAATACTCTCATCAATGCTTTTATGTCGCCTATTGTTTGTGCCTAAAGAGATAGAAAATTATTTAAATGTTGAAACATTGTAACTCTTTATTTGAAAATTTCAAACAAATCATACATCAAACTTGTCGTCCGCATAGTCTAACCAATGATCTCTTTTAGGCATTCGTTTAAACCATTTTCTTGACAATGATATCTGAAAATTAGTTAAACATTTAATATCATTAATCATAAAATAAAATAAAATCCTTATATTACTAACAAAAACGCATTGAACCACTTGGACGACAACGCTGTCCTTTTTTGGCGGAACCATAACATAGTCGGTAATAAACTTTCCCAAAACAAACAAAATCAGTGCAACAATCATGAGAGCCGCCGGTACGCCAAATGCCAGTGGAAAACAACTCGTGCTATTGAAACACTTGACGTCTTCGCGCAAAATTGGTGTCAAAAATGTGGACAATAGACTGCCGGCATTGATGGAGATGTAGAAGAGTGAGAAAAACTTTTGTAGTTGGCTTTCCTGTCCCGGACCAAACTGGTCGCCACCAAATGCCGATACACTTTAGATGATAATAAAGTGATTATGTGATTAATTTTTTTAAAGAAAATTTATATAAAAAAAATTATCTCAATTTTTACGGCACATTACCATGGTTTTATTCCTCCCGTTCCCAATGCTATCGCCACTAATCCGACCCATGTTACTGGTCTATCATATTTAGTTTATATGATTAGTTAGCTCTTAATTATTTATTTTAATTGAAAATATATAATGTATATGACATACTTTGAGACCAAATATGATGAATACGACAAAAGTATGTTACCGATGGCATAGAGTATTGAAATGTATAAAATGGTTCTGTTTTTAAATATATATATATATATATATTATAATAATAATAATAATAATAATAATAATAATAATAGTAATAATAATAATTTTTATTTCATATTATTATTAATTAAGCAATTATTGTTCTCATTATGTTATTACTAAATGTTATTAATTAATTCTATGTTTTATTATTTTATATAAATATATACTTTTTTTTAAAAAAGTTTTAAATGAGATTCACCTAAATTTTCCGAGAAATGAATCGGCAATAATAGCGCCGATAACTGGTGTGAAATAACAGGCCATTGCAAAGATATGGTAGTACTCTGTCGACTCATTTTCGTTATACAGTAGTATATCACGAAAAAAGAGGACAAGAATTGCTGTAATACAAAGATATTACAATTTTGATTAGTTTTAGTTATCAATTTAAAAACTAATGTAAATAATTATATATATATATACTGTATATATAAAATAAATTAATATATATAATTATAAATAAATATGTTATGTCCAAATAAATTATTTTTCAAATGTTATTGTGTTTTAATGCTAAATAACTTTGGTTTCAAAAGTGACAGTAATGTTCAAATGACAGATATATTTTTTAATTTAATTTTTATAATATATGTAGTATTTAAAATTGATCTCATTTTTTGGTTAAATTGTTAGTTATGTATTTTTAATGACATTTATAAATATATATTTTTATGAAGCCATAAAAAATGTACGGTAATTATAACTTGTAATAATAAAAAAAATTGTATAATTTAATTTAAATTCATTTGTGTCATTATATATATATGTTTTTATTTTATTGTCATACATTGTATAATTTTTATTTTTCAAACAAAAAAAACAATTGTGTCAAATAATAAATATGATGATAAAATTAAAAATCACTAAAATTAATGATTAAGTTAAAGATGAAATGTATAAAAGTTGAATAGTATCAATATCCTATTATTTAAAGATTATTATTATAATAAATATTAATCATGTGTATGTTTTTACATTAAAATTAATTTTATATTGTTTTTGTTTAGTTATTTTTTTAAATAATAAATATACAAATAAATATTTAGTTCATTTTTAGATTTAAATATGTTATTTGAAATGACAAAATTAAGTGTATAATGCATATAAAAATTTTACATAAAAATAATATAATAGTTAATCTTTAATTTATTTTTTTTAAATAGTAAAATTAGTTATCATAAATAAATTAAATGCTAAAAGTTATAAAATAATTTAATGATAAACTTATTTTTTGCATATATTATTATAGATTTACAGTATATTAGACACAAAATGTCAGTAAATTATGGGTATAATTACCCTTAAAATACAGTAACGTTAAGTGACTGAGAAAAATATTGGTTTTATTTTTGTTATTTATTTATCAAATTATGTCTTTAAAACATGTGAAAAAAACATTTACAGATATTTAATTTTCAACCAAATGATTATAAATATATATAAATCCTTTAATAATGGTATAATTTTTTTATTTACTTATATATTTGAGACACAATAGGTTTTAAATTAGAGGTCAAACCTAAGCTAAAGGCATTAAATAGGAGACTAAAGTAGTGACTGACAAACCAGTAAGTTATGGTTTATTTTGATGTCATTATTATTTTATTTTATCGGTGTTTTATATTTTATTTGGTTAACAATAAAGTTAATAAACTATTAAACTACGATTTATATACAATTATAATATAATGGTAATACTAATTTGCATTTTATGACCTCAATTGTATTTATGTGTGTATGTGTGTGGATAGCACAGGTAGTTATTGGTCTACCCTCTAGTAAGCCTTAACCTTGAAATTTCAATTTTTACGGCCAAAAACATTTGTTTAAGTTGTTGTTAAACAAAATTATAATAACAATAATTATCAGATATTCACTGAATATACTCTAAGACAAGACCCATGAAGTTTAAATTGAGACAAAACATGATTAATGGCTATTGAATTGAAAAATATTAATTAAAATTTCTCTAATAGTAAATCTTATATTAAAAAACTCCATTAGAAGTCATTTAAACATTCATTAAAATGCATTCAATGAATGGTTGGCCAGACATACAAAAGCGTTAATGCAATTTACTCTAATTATTATTATTTGTTACATTAGATATAAACCCATATTAAAAATGTTTTTCATAATTTTCATATTAATAATATAATTGTATAAATATTTTAAGATATGTAACCAATACATAGATTATATCAGATAAAAATAATACAATATACTGTACTGTATTATATACATTGTATAATATATTAGTGATATATAGATTTATAAATTTACTAAAAATAATATTCTCTATGCTCTAATTGATTAGATAACTACATTTTAATTAAATTCAAGTTTCATCTATTTTTTATAGATATTTATTTATTAGTACTTTTTAAGTGCTATTATTTGTATAAAGAAAAAATGTATTGTAAGTAAATTTATGCTTCAATATCACCCGTTTAATAGACCCGCCTAAACAAAGCAATTACAATAATAATAAATATCATATAATTATTTTTAGTTTTTGTTACAATAAAAATATCAGTTTTTGAAATCAATGTCAGAGATAAAGTTAATTAAGTTGATAGACACCGATTGATAACATCGCTAAACATTATAATATGTATATAACATTAATTAAATTAAATTTTTGAGTTGTTTTTTAATTAATAGGTAAATTTACTGTATCTATTAATATTTAGTTTTTTGCAGGTCCTTTTTATTTTTTATTTCTATGTATAAATATTGCAAAAAAATATTTAAATAAATGTTTAAATTAAACATTTAGAAATTTTAATATATATATATATATATATATTTGAATAAAACATAATTACATGTATAAATATATATAATTTATGTATTTTTATGTATTAAATTCATAAATTAATAATAATATTTTTAAAAATTTTATTTAATTGAATTTAATTTAATTGAATTTAGGACACATGGCATTATTTGAAAACATGTTATTAATATTGCACTGTACTGTATTGTACTATATTTTAACTGTTAAATTAAAAAATGGCTAATATTTTAATTTATTGAAATACTAAATTTATTCTATCTGTTTGTCCATTTATTATTGTTTCCAAAATAAACACTTATTATGTTATTGTAATTGTTTCTAATTATTTGAATATTTCGTGATTTTCAGTTAATTTAAAATCATTTTCAGAAAAAAAATCTATTTCTAAAAAACAGAAAATATAATTTTTAATTGACTTTGATTTTGATTTTGATTTTACTATTACTATTATGTATATTATAAATAATAAAAATAATAATATAAATATATGTTTTGTACTTTAAAAAATTACTTTAAAAAACACAAATTTTCCAAATTTAGCATTAATTTTGATTTAAGTAAAATAAAGTTATTAATGGAAATAATATAAATTATATCATGAATTTTTATGATTGCTTATTAGTTTTTAACAGATGCTATAAGAATATATTATATAAGATTAATAAAGATGTTAAAATACTAAAATTTATATATAATAGATATTAGTTTAATAAAAATATTTAATTAAAATTTTTAGATAAAATTGTTGTCATTTCTATAATATTTACTTTATATAGGTGTGCGAACATAATGAGAAAAAGGGTTATTTAATAAAAATTACATATTTAATGTTTTCAGATAAACATATTTAACTAAAAACCACTAAATCATGTTTTATCGCCAAAATCGTTAAATATAATTACAATTTAAGAAATTATGTTTATTTTTACTTTAAAACAGCAATATATAAAATTAATGGTAAATAGATTTTAACAAATGATATCATTCTAAACAAACAATAGAAGTAAATTTGCATAAATATTATAGTAATGATAATTTTTATTGTATAAAAAATGTATACCTTTTGCTCCATAGTATGAGAATCTCTCGCAAAATTCATTACCGATTATGAATGCTATGGAAAGTGGATATTTCTGACCCTTCTTTGGCACTTCCAGTTGATCCTCATTGTTGTTATCGATAGACTTTTTCTTCTCATCCTAAAAATATATCAACAATTTTTGTATTTTTATCATTTAGTATTCATATTGTTTGCTTAGATTTTCTTTGTTTGTTTAATTAGCTATTTTATCTAAAATAATATTTTTCAATAAAATTATGATATAACTGTAAATTACAGAATTTGTAACAATCTATTAATATAATATATATATTATTAAAAATGACTTACCATTTCAAGTGGTATATCTTATATTGCACTCCAATTGAGAGTGAATTATAAACGATTTTTTTTGTATATTTTATATGACACTAACTTTTTTTAAATATTTTAATTGTTTCACAGAAAATATTTACTTGAAAACACTGTATTTTAATTATTAAATAATAAAATTTTAAATTGTTTTGTGAGCAAACGTGAAATGCTATTAATAATAATTTTATTATTATTATTATAGTCACTTAAATAATAAATAAATGATAAAAAGCATAAAGCACTTTGTTTTTATTATTTCAATTATGAGATATTATTAATATGTATCACAATTTAATAACAATATTAATAGTGATAAAAATAAGTGTCGAAACTTTTATTTATAACATAAAGAGAAAAATGTTTTGTTATCATTAAATAAAATAAAACTTTTTTTAAGTCTAATGAACTAAACGGATGCACTGCAAGATGTCATGTGTAGAGTAAGTGCAAACATATCAGTTGTGTAGACCAGACAAACATCCCAAATAAGTGGTCCAAAAATAGTGATACAGTTTCCCCAAAAACCAAACAAAAATAGTATGGATTTAAGGGTAATTGTGTGACGAAAGTCGGTGTATCTAAAGATTTTGAAAAAATAAAGTCTTTTCTATTAATAGTGTAAATGATTAGTAGATTTGTGGCAAAGATATGAATCAACTAAAGTATAGACAGGAAGAAGAATAAGAATAAAAAAGGAAAACTTTCTCTCAAAAGAATTAGTATTTAAAAAATAATTATAAATATATTGAAAGTAGGGATGAGTTGATAAAAAAGCAAAGCATAGCATAAGGTGTGGGAAAATGAGAACCAATTTTGGTACCGATTGATGATAATAACGATGCTTTCAGTTAGGTTTATGTGTGTGGAAATGAATCTTCAAAAAACATACACAACAATTATATACATTACTATAGTATAGAGTATTATATAATAATAAATAATATATATATATATATATATAACACAATAATAATAATAATACAAATATATAGTGAAAGACACGAGACTCGCAATCAGAGAGTGTGTTATTAGAGTGCGGGTTATGCCGTCTTTTGTGTGCCGTTTATACAGACTATGGACTCGGCTTATAGTTTACTATATTTTAGTAGGAGATGTAGTGTTTGAGCAAAACATGTTCTCAATAGTACTGCTATTGAGGCGAATGACTCTTTGGAAAAAAACTAAATAAAAAACGTGAAGCAGATGTTAGACAAGTTTACACACATATACTGATCCCTATTTAATACTATTTATTATTATTATTATTATTAAAATACATATTACTATTTCAATCCTTTATGTTCAGAGAGTTGTGTAGTCTATTATCCCATACATACCATCACCTAAAACCGTGTCTCACATCTCCAGTCTATTTCATATATATTCTGTGTATTGTTGTTATCAGATCTGAATCACTATCTATTTCTAACCGCAACTCACTTTGAAACTTGAATAGCGATTAATGAAACTTTTGAATTTAAGTCAAAACAAACTTTTATTTTAAAAATAATAATAATTTCTTCACCAAAAAATAAATAAAATACTGTTTATCAAACATGTGTTTATTACAGTTATTTTTAAATAAATTTCAGGTAAAACTAAAAAAAATATTATTTATTTTGAATTTTACATTTTTTCTGTATAATTGAGGCATAAACTACTGAAAATGAATTGACGACTTTTTCATAATAATTGATCATGGGGGTTTTATATAATAACTGTGATTGAAAACATTGAAAATTAATGTTAAAATGTGCACTATTTAAATAAAAAATGCTATTTTATTATTATTATTATGAATTACCACAAAAATATGGCATTCATTCATTGTTCACTTTATTGTTCAGATTTATTATTTAATTAATAAAAAGTTTTGAAATAATAAAACTAATAATGAAAACTATTTACTTATTGTTAATCAAAAATTTTGACAATTATCAAAATGAATTATTAATTGTGGACATCCTTTTTGATAAAATGGGGAAAAATAAATTTCTAGTATTTTAATGACAAAAAAACACTTACCCTATATATTGTAATATTTAATAAATGTTTTGCATTGAAAATAATAAAAATTTGCTGACATTAATAAACAATAATTGTATTGCATTACTATAAACACCTGTTTAACATAAAATATCGTCACAAATAAATATTTTAATAAATGTCAACATTTTATTAATTTAAAACACAAAATTTTTTATTGAATATTAAAATATCATTTTACTAAAATAAAATAATAGATATAATTACTATTACAAAAATGGCATATTAAACAAATATAAGATAGCATATTATGAAATTATTTTAAAAATAAAATGTCGTAATTAAATTTTACAATTAAAAGTTGTCTATAATTACACAATTTCTAATTAAGACATTTATTTAGTATTTTTCACTTATGCAGTCAAACGATGAATTGCTATTTATGTATATTTACTAATAATTATTATGTTTATCAATAATTCTGTAAATTAAAGTTTATATTTAATTTGAGATAAGGTTTTCAATCTTTGATTATAACTTCTATTAATAATCTATGAATTCCAACACTTAGTGAAGTTAAACCACAAGTTATTATTGTATTAGTTGTGAGTGTTTTGGTTCAATATAACTATCAAAAAAGGAAATTTCAAATCAAAGTATTATAACATTTATTTATGTATCTAATGTCAGACAAATTTCAATTATCTGTAAAAATAAACAAACAAAAAATTTGATTATTATTAGTAATGTTATCGTGAAAAGTTCAAACAAAAATTTATGAAATAATAAAATATTACCAACTCATTTTGTACATCAATTTAATTTTATATTTACTTATATATATATTATGAAGGTTAGCATTGAAAGTAATCATAAAAATAATAATGATGTGTACTTGTAATAGATATATATATCATGCTTATAGTTATGCAATTAAAAAATATATCATCTCTTTATAGTTATGTAAATGAATTACTTATATTATACTTAAAATAGTCTCCTGAATACCAAATACTAAATATATTTATAAATATATAAACGATATATAATTTAAATATATTGTGTTTATTTTAATACATAGTCCTTAAAAATTGTTTTGTTTATAAGGTTATACATGATTAGGAATTATAGAGAATATTATAAATTTAGTTATATTTATAATACCAATATTATGGTTATAATTTTGACCCTTTTCCCTGTAAATTGCCTCATATTTCTAGCCATTTATTTTTAGTTAGTTTTTCTTTTTATGATCTGATTGCTTTTTTGGTAAATGATATTATGAATTATCATTATTTTATTATATACCGTAAATAAGTAATTTATATTTTTTGTGTGTACGCGGATTGTTTTACTTAAAAATATATTTTGTGTTTTAATAGTAATTTTGATGTATTTAGTTTATTATAGTGTCTCTCTTTAACTAAAAAAAGTAATAAAATATATAATTCTTAGAAATTACAAATAAAATAAATTAAAATTTTATATAACTACTTGTAAGATACAAAAAAATACAATCTTAAATTCTCCAAAAATAATCACAATTAACAAAAATTTTGCAATATTTTACAAGATTAACATTATTTACAGTGAAAGTTTGGCACATATTTCCTGAAAGTCTAAAACAAATATTTTTTATTATTTATATTTTTTCGATGATAAGATACGATGAATATACAAAAATGTTTATGAATATTATATTTATATTAAAAATTATAAATAAATAAAAAACTTTAAAAGCTATTATTTCATATAACAATCTATTTGTGTAATCATTAAACAAAATCTGAAATGCATTGCAAACAATAACACATTTATCGATGAACTCATGGGGTAATCGACTTAGCCTTCAATTAGTCTTTTATATAATGATAATAACAATAATAAAACTTAAACAAAACTAAAAATTTTTATTTAGCATTAAATATCTATTATTATTAGTTTTATTTTTATTATTGCCACAAAATGGAAAAAATGTTTAATTTTAATAAATTGCTTAGAAATAATCAATAAAATTAGAGCAAATAAACAACTTATATTATATATGCAAACATTATTTTAATAAGTTTTTTCGTATTTTAATTTATTTAGACATCACATTTATTAAAAATAACAATATTATAAATGGAAGATTATTTTATCTTTAGTTTATTGAAATGTTTTTCATAGATAATTAGTTTTATTTATTAGATTTAATTACCTTTATTATAACAATAACAACAACAACATTAATAATAATTTAATAATTACAATAATAATAAATGAAAATCATTTATTATTAGACTAATTAGCAATAAAAACCTTTAGGATGTGCTGTCTCTTTGATTTAAATGCAGATTATTTTGTTGCTCTCCTCCAGCTATTCATATTATAAATAAATTGTAGATTTTTCAAAAATATAACTGTTTGGTTAACTGTCAACTTTATTAGTGTTATTCAACAAACCAACAAAAAAAATAAAAGTATTAAATATTATATCTTAATAAAAAAGTTTTAACAAACTATAAATATTTGATTTTTGATGTGATAGTTTTATAGTTAAAAATTTTTATATTTATACTTATGTTAAATAATTAAGTCGAAATTTTTATTATAAAATTAGTACAAACAAAAAATAATATAATATTCAGTACATATAAAGTTATAAATTAACTTTAAATTATAAATAAAATATTACAATCATTGTAAATCTATTAATTAAAATATTAACTATGATAATTCATTTTATATTTGATTAACTAGGTAACTATATTATATTTTTTATTTATAATTAAATATAAATATTAATAATATATTATTATGTATGTATAATTTTTAGCAACTATTTAATACTTAATAATAATCACATCATTTATTTTTATCATTTAAAACAGTAAAACTTATTAAATTGATGTTTTTATTCAAAGATTAGTTCAAGTTTAAGATTTTAAAACAAATCATAAAAAATTGTTTAGAAAATTGTTTCTATTCTATGATAAATTTATCTTATTATTCGTTTAAAATTTTTAAAACATAAAATTCATTTTCTTTTTTAATTAAATCAATGAATTGAATAAATAACTAATAAAAACAAAATAAAACTATTTTTTTAATACTTTAAGTTATAAAATTCATGTCTTAAATAATGATAAATAATAGTATTTTGGTTTAGATTGTTTTGTTTTTAATATTAAATTTTAAATTCAATGCCAAAATAATATACAATGTTTTAAATAACTTATTGTTTTTTGAATTAAAATTAAATTTTAAAATAATTTTTCTATAAACAGAAAATAATGATCTCTTCTCTGATTAACCACAAAAATTGGGAGCAAAAAGACAAATAAAAAGTTAAAATCAAAATTCAAATAATTTGGCAATTAATGTAATAAATGTTTGGTTATATATGTTTGCATTTAATTATCTAATTATAGTCAATAGTAATTAACAAACTTTTTTATTTTATTTTGTGTAACATATATTCATTTTATGTTCAAAATATTTATTTATTTTATTCAATATCTAATTGTTTGTCTTTTACAGAGAAAACAATTGCTTAAAAGGATTTTTCATAAATAATTAATTGTTTTTTATTATTTTAAATTTTATTTCATATGTCTGGGTTTGGGTCTCAAAAAATTGATTTATCTTTTATCTTAAAATTATTATTATGTATAAACAGCACAACAAATGATACTATATTTTTTATTTTATTTGAAAATTTATTTGAATACTACTACTAATAATAATAAACGCTTTTTCATTATTATTTGATTATCATAAATGGACAAACCTGCCCCGGGAGGGCCCACATCATTCAAAATCAATTTTATACAATAAAAATTATATATATATATACCGGTATATAATCCTAAAAACAATGGACTACTTGAATATAATATAGTATTGTTATACAATGATTTTGGTGGCACTGGTATGCCTGGTATGTCCACGGTTTATAAGGGTATACGTTTTTTTATTAAAAATGTTTTTAGTGCTAGTTATGTATAAGATTACAAAAGATCCTAATTTTGAATTCATAACTCAAATCAATTGTATGCAAATTTTTATTAATACTTAAAATTTATTATTATATATAGTTTTACACCTTATTGTGTAAACAAATATATTTATTAAAACTCATCAGTTATTAATCAAAAGAGTATTATTTTATTTGTTTAAGTTTTGTATAACTAAATAATAATAATAATAATAATAAAAGTTTGTTTTCAAAGCCAATACAATGCTATTAATATTTGAATGAATTAATAAATGAATGAATATTTTTAAATTCAATGAATTATTGCTTTACATTGCTTTGAAATTATTTGGACGTACAATAAAACACATTTAAAAAACATCTGATAAGGAAATACTATTATTATTTATTAGTATTTAAATAATAATAATAATATTGTATTAAATCACATATTTATAATAAATATTGAAAAAATAACACATATTTATTATATTCAACAAAACATTAAGTAATAGTTAATTATTATTAACAGTTAGTAAATATATTTAATGTAAACGTATTGTATGTGAATGTATGGCAACAAAACAATCGATAGTTTTTGTATTCATTGAACAATCGATTAGTGTTTGAGAAAAAAATTAATTTCATTCAATGTATTTAGTCTTCGCTTAAGACATACACATATCATAGGATTTAATCTGTTGTATGACATCTACTTTGATGTCCAATCGGTGGTGACATTCAACAGTGACTTTGTCTGTCATCCCTTTCGATGGCAGCCATGAAGTGCTTTGAATGTCAGTACGAGTTATGCGAAACGGATCCAAACGTCAAGACCTGCGACAATGCATTTCTGGTAATTATGATTACATTTATTGTCTTTAAAGAAACTAATTAATGTAATTCTGGTCACTGATTGTCATCAATAACTTCTAGTGTTACAGTACGACAACATGGAGTCCATTGAAACGTATCTATGAGTACAACAAAGGCTGTATTCCCGATAGACATCATCAGCAGTTGATATGCGGCACCAAATTGTCCAAAATTAATGATACACACCATGTGTTTTACAGATCGCATACCACATATAACTCTTATTGTTGTCAACAAGATTTATGTAACGATTGGTTTCCCAAAATTATCGACAATACGTCAAAGACAGCTTCAGTTAACAATGAAATAGTTAACGAATCGGCCGAAAGCGGTGTCGGAGTTATGTTTGTCGTCTACATAATGGCCGCTATATTTATAATTATGACCGTAATCGGTGTCATTGTGTTTCGTTTGCGTAAAAAACACAAACAAAAAATGTCTCATTTATTGAGGACTGGTTTAAGTACAACAAATGTTGAGAAGAGTTCCAATGATTGTACTTATAATGAGGGACTCCGTGTGACCGCTGCCGGCGATTCCACACTACGTGAAGTGTTCGAGCATTCAGTTACATCCGGTTCCGGTTCGGGACTTCCACTACTAATACAGCGAACTTTAGCTAAACAAATACATTTGGAAGAATGTATCGGAAAGGGAAGGTATGGTGAGGTGTGGAGAGGTATCTGGCAGTCGGACAACATTGCCGTTAAAATATTCTACAGTCGAGATGAGATGTCCTGGAATAGAGAGACTGAGATCTACTCAACTGTTATGTTAAGACACGAAAATATTTTGGCTTTTTTGGGCTCTGATGTTACTTCTTATAATTCTTGTACTCAGTTATGGCTAATCACTGCTTACCATGAATTAGGTTCTCTCTATGACTTCTTAAACGAGACGCCACTCGATATCAAACAAATGCTATCAATCATACACTCTATTGTGTCCGGTATTCTTCACTTACACACCGAAATATTTGGCGGCTTAGGAAAGCCGGCCATCGCTCACAGGGATATTAAGTCGAAGAATATACTAATGAAGGATACATATAACTGCTGTATTGCAGACTTTGGTTTAGCGGTGACTCACACGCAGACAACCGGTAAATTAGACGTTGCAGAGAATCATAGGGTCGGAACTAAACGATATATGGCTCCTGAAGTACTAAACCAGACATTGAAAAGCGATATTTTTGAATCATATAAAATGGCTGACATGTGAGGAATAAAACTGATAATAAATTTGATTAATAATTATTTATTTGAATTCAAATTATCTTTGAAAACAGTTACTCATTAGCGCTAGTTTTGTGGGAAGTGGTTCGTCGTACTCGTATTGACGGCTGTTTTGAAGACTATTGTGTTCCTTATTATAATTGTGTGCCAAACGATCCGAGCTTTGATGACATGAAGAAGATTGTATCAATTGATCAACAAAGACCTGAAATGCAGGAAAATTATAAATCAAATAATGTAAATATTATGATCATATAATAATAATAGTATCATAAACTCTTAAATCTATTTATATATTTTTAAAACAAATCATTAACTCATTTAATAAGGTTTTATTGCAATTGGAGAAAATAATGCGTGAGTCGTGGTCTCCGAACCCATCGTCACGTTTGACTGCACTTCGGATCAAGAAATCATTATTGAAGATATCAGACGAAGACACGTCTTTAAATGTTTAAAATGAAAATCATTTTTTTGCCATTTTTTAAAACTAATATTTATAACCGAATATATCATTTTATTTGACACATTATACAGAATTATTTTATTAGAAATTTTCAATTTATAAATTTAAGTCTTAAATAATTATAATGATTTTTTAAAAAAAAACTGTATCATATACTAAGGTATTTAAAATTTTTATTTTTTAATTTACTGATTTTTTGTTTCAAATGAAATTTAATGTAAATAAATTATATACAAAATAATTGATATAATGAAATATTTTTGGCACAAAGCAATCAAAAATTACAGTGCAATTGAAAATGTGTTTTGTCTCTCTCTCTCTCGATTTACAATTGGTTTAAATGTGATTTTTATATAAAAATGTGTTTATCATATAAATAAAACAATTATAAATCAGCTAATCGTCTGCACATTCTTCTAAAATGTCGATCAGATTGTTTAATCCAAAGAGATAGCCGTCCTCGTGATTGCCTAAAGCCCACTGCGACTTGTGGTCAATAGTGATGTCTTTGGGCACCGCAATGGTCTTAGCGAAGTCAATCATCCAAACGCCGGCACTCTTGCCATTATGAATGATGAGTAATGAACTGCCAATTACTTCATGAGATCTAAAGAACTCTGAGCTCTCAAACTTATCGGCCAATTGTTTGAGTCTATCGATGAGTTGATGACGGACTTGTCTTTTGGACATTAAAAATGCTTTCAATGTGTTTCTCACTTCATCCCTGTGCTTCACTAACTTAAGGTCTTTACATAGCTGTAAGTCTTCACCGGCCTATACGTAGGAAACGTATGAAAAAAACAAATTCAATGATAAGTAAACTAAAACTAAAAAATAATTATGTAAATAATGATAATAAGGAAAAAAAACTATTATTGACTAATAATAATAAGTTAATGATATGAACGCACTTTAAAGCCTTCAATTCTGAAGCCAAGATTGGATGACGAGCTGAGAGCTTCCCTGAACTTCATATAAGTTAATTTAGTGACAGCCCTCTGCCTGTGCTCCTCATCGGTGGGTGCGTTTGCATCGATTTTTATCATTTTCTCGTACAGATCATTCCTGGGTTTCCTGTTTTTGACCTCTTCCTCGAGGAAAGTACGAGTTCCCATCTTTATGTCCATAATGGCTGCATCTTTGTACTCGTAAAGCAGGTCTTCGATTTCGATGAAATAGTCGCCCATATAGGAGACGTGGCGGAAGAACTTTGGTACCATTTCACACATATACGAGTCCTGCATTAGTGCCTCATATGCACGGACTTCTGTATCATCGGTCGACCTTTTCTTCCATATAGTTCCCGGACCGGCCAATGCAAACGAGCCCTCGTGTCCCGACAGTTGCACCCAATTATTTGTCCTATTCTTCAGTATGATATCACTGGCCGGCGCTGACAATTGCAATGATTTCAATGCTAACAATTCAAGCAAATGGTAGTCTTTATCTTCACATTCATTCTCTGAAGAAGAACTGTCACTGTTTTGATGAGTTTCGTTCAAATGATTACTTTTGGCAACAATTACACCATTCGTATGGCTATTATGTTTGGTCTCGTTATTGACTGAATTTGTTGTCTGAGCTGTCTTTCGGAGGTTACGAACAAAAGCACTTCTGGCCAAAGCCTTCCACCGGGACTTTGCAGTCGATATTTGCGGTGATTTCTTGTTATTATTGCCACTAATTATTGTCTCATTCTTCACCTTCTCTTCTTCAACAATATCAGACTCATTGGCGGCCTAACAGATAAATTAAAAATTTAAATAAAAGATAAATTAGTTGTTTGATTAACACTTGGAAATTGCATAAAATGTATTTTTTCAATAGTCATACTAATCATTAATTTTATATATAATTTTGTAGTTTTGTAAAACTCATTGCTATTGACGTCAAATAAAGAAATTATCACATATTTTTTGTCAAAAAACTATTAATAGAAAAAACTATTGAGACAACAATTTTACATGATTTATGAAATATGTCATATAAAAAATATGTAAAATTGTTGATTTATTAAACATTGTAAAAATTAAAACATTAGAGAGARAGAGAGAGATTATAAAAACAAGTTTAAGACATTTTTCAAATTTAATTCACGCAATGTCTTTAACTTACATTTTTAACAAAATTCCCGTAATTAGAGCTCAAGTTATTTAACAATTTGTTTGAAAACTTCATTGAATAGTCATTGTAGTAAAGTTTAGATATAATTACACTTTTCTTTAACTTCATTGTTTGCATTAATCAAATCAATTATAAACTTTCAAAGATAAATAAATTAGTTTCCAAAAATAAACTTTTTAAACGTTTATATCACATAAATTTTAAATATAAAAACTTATAATAATAAATAACTTTAATTAATAAATAAATAAAACATCACAATTAAACAATTTAATTGTTTGTAGAATATATAAAAGTTTGATTTTTTTCAATAATAGTAATAATTTATCAAATTTTATAATATATTTAAAGGGAAAAACTTATATCAAATAAAAAATATTTTTAAATCGTCAATAATCTTGTGGTGTAGACATTGATCTCAGAGTTGTTTTTCACAACAATATCATTAAAAAATATATAATAAATTTTTTTTCATCAATTCAGTCACGAGTGTTACCAAAACTCGTGGTTTGGCTGTACTTCAGGTAAGATCTCCCATCAAATAATCGCTTCTTTGCTATTATTATTATTATAAGAAGCTATTGCTTGGCTTCTCCTACTTCTTAGTCATCAAATAATATTTTTATAATGACTCTCCAGAAGCTATCATTCAAATGAAAGGCATGACTGAAGCGCTCAGAGATTTTGTATAGAAATCCTCTTCGGATGCCAAATGCACAGCAAAATTACTGACGAGAAAAATATGAGTTTCAAACGGAACTCATGTCTACCTGACTCACGACATGTAAGCACACCTGAAGATCAACATTTAAGGCTAAAAAACGTCATTCAATTCAATTAAAACTATTTTTATATATTTTTTAAAACACAAACTAATCTCCAAAACGTGTTTTCTTAACTTTTAGTATATATATACATAAATTAACTTATATATTGTATATATCAAAAGGACAGGTAGATTGTTATATATACTGTATCATATATAATATACTGTATGAGTGCTGCCTTGCATTCAATACAATCAAGTTTTATTGTCAGCCCTCACATACATACAAACATACAACTCATTTGCGTCGATGCCATACAATGAAGTTATTTATAATTATTGATACACTTAAAGAAGTGTAGAAAACTTTATATATGTAATAACTGAATGATATTTAATAATTTCTTTATAAATTTTATATTAATATATATATATATCATTATATATAAACACATGAAATTAAAATATTTCTTTTTGTGTGTATAATGTGTTAAACACACAAATTAGTGTTGTTTTGAAATTTTGTAAAAAAAAGTTATTGAAATATAACCTACAGGTAAGTGTAGTGGCAAACACACGGTAAACACTTGTTATTTACGTAAATACAATCTATAGATAGATTTATATTATATTTTTCACTGACATTATGTGACTCACATATAACTTACACTTTTTAAATGAAATAAACTAAAAATAATTTATTTATATTATCTCCCAATTGAATCAAAAATCATTGGTACAGTAGTATCAAAACATATATACTGTAATTAAAAATAGACACCAAAACAGGCTAAATGACAACAGACAACGTGACCACTAATGTGTACCAAAATATTTTTGATAAATAAATAAATAAATAAAACTTACCGATGAAAACAACTCAAAAATAGAGACATTGATTAGTAATTCACACCTCATTTTTGCTGATTATTATTTAGTATTATTATTATTATTAGTTTAACTTAATTTACTTATAATAAATAAATATTTTTCGTTGTATGAGTTTGTTTGCCTCGATATACAGTTAAAAACTTAATTTATATTTACTTTGAAAACAGTTTTATTATAACACTTGCGGCACACACTTAATACATGAAGTTTTTAAAAATAAAATATTTCACAAAAGTATATCAACACAACAACAACATCACATTTATAGTCATTTGTGTTTTATTGTATTAATTGCTATAAAAGTTTTTTTTTATTACTATTACTGTATAACTACAGTACAATAGCTACAGTATTATTAATATTATTATTCTTATAGTTTGCATAATATCCGCATTTAAACCGTAATTATATACCGTTTGGTACATAATGTGTACATAGACTGCCAATTGGATAAATAGAGTACACAAACACCCAAAATGTGAATCAAAAGAAAAAAATAATGTTTTTTTTCCTATGAAATACTAAACATTAGTTTACTATTTATATTACAATATGATTATTACACGAAATTATTTGTTGAAATAATGTTTCAAAATTTTCAAATAACAAAATAACTTGAATAATAAATTTCCTAAGAGTTGCTAGTTTTAAAAATAAGTTGTTTTCATAATAATAATAATAATAATAATAATAATAATAATAATAATAATAATAATAATAATAATATACAGTAGATTTACTTTACAATCACTATTAACAACAATAATAACAATCACTACTGCTATTAAATATCAGTGGAAATGTTTCAAAGTTTTTCTCATTTCAAATATGTTTTTCAGAAACCAAAGAATTTGAAAAATCTTTAGTCAGAAAATAAAAATGTTTTAATTGGGAAAACAGTTTTAAGTTATTATTATATTTTGAGATTTATAATTGAATTTCTTAATAATCTTTGCCTTACTATACCATACATACATCACTACATTATAATAAATATTAGCTTTAATGATAGGGAGAGACAATAAATTAAATACTATAATACTTTGTTAGTTTTAAAAAGTTAGAGATATTAATAATAAACTTTTAGAGTTAGTATTACATAAGTTCACAAAAGTTTAAAAAGTTGTTATTAATTGAAAACTATTACAGAAAAAACTGATTAAAACTGAAGACTTAAGCGCAATGTTATCATTATTATTGATTATAAATTATTATAATATAGTATTAAAATTATTGATAGTCAGGATAATACAGTACAACTATACTGTATTGTTATTATTATAACTAATAATTTATTATTAATGTATTGTTTTATATTAATAATAAATTGATAGCAATAATAATGATTTCTAAATTCATGTATAAGCTATGAGATACACGAGTTTTTGGCGATTATGTTTGATTCAATAAATTGTATTTGAATTCAATGAAGTGCTGATCCCAATAAAGCTGATTATTATTATTATTATTATTACTATTATTAAGAGAACGAACAAACTATCAGTTCATTACAATTAATGCCATATTTTTCACAGTCAGTACCGATAATCTTTAATTTAGTATTGACGTCAATTTTGACCGATTTTAATACAAATAAAACACTATTTCCAGTTTGAAAATACAAAGATAGTGTAAATTCTTGTGTCCCTCACTGCTCTCTCTCTCTCTCTCTCTCTCTCTCCCATCTATAATATCTCCCTCTCCTTGTGACTCCCCTTCCCAACTAAAAAACAGGTACCTAACCATTACCAGGCCTATCATTATTAGCACAGCTTCTAATAATTCCAGGGCTTTGAGTCAATATATACTGTAAACTCTATGTATATATTATATATTTCCTAACGACTGAATGTCTGTCAAAAAAGTGTATATCCTTTACAACGAAGTCATTAATAACTCATAATAAGTAGTGATTATATATATTATAATATTAGCCATTTCTGGGCACAGAGTTTATCAATAATCACGTGTTTTTGTAAATATAAAAATTCAACGATCGATACAAATATATTTCATATGAATCAGAAATATTGTACCCATTGGTAAATACCAATTTTGTATTTATCTTTCAAAATTTAAGGTTATGTCAATATTTATAAAATATATTTATAGTAATGTCTTAAATAAATTAATATTTGATTCTACATTACATACAAAATATTATATTAATTATCAAAATGATAGTTCGGGTCTTTGAAATGCAAATATTAATATCAATATATTTTTAAAAATATTATGAATAATGTCTTTTAAATTTTATATATAAGTTATATTGGATAACTTTAAAAGATGTTTTATTTGCATAGGAAATCATTTAATCAAATAAATTAAAATATAAATAATGAAAATCTATAATAATGTTGATATTACTTTATATCATATGATTTGTAAAATTAAATATAATTTACAATTAACAGACAAAAGACAGAAATTATTTTGCTTTTGTGATCACAAATAGTCTGAACCTTTAAATTACATTAAAATCTATAATATCTAATATCTATTAAATCACATAACAATAAATTAGAAAAATGTTTCTTTTATTTGATGTAAAATTACTAAATTATTTAATTTATTATAATTTATTTAATTAAGTTAAAATATATGTAATCATAATCTGTTAAATAATATAGAGTATATTTGGGTATTTTTTATTTGAGTAAAAATTTTTATAGGGCTCTATTGTTAAAATTTGATACAATATAATAATTAATAATTACAGTAAAGTACTAATGACATGTTTGTCTAATTATTATCATTAATACAGATTGTAATGCAAATTAGGTTAAATGAACTAAATTTATATTGAAATCTGTTTAAAACAAACATAATCTTAACTAAATGTCAACTATAGGTAAATTAACTATAGAGTACATCAATGTAGTTGTTTTCGATTGTTTTGCATTTTATTTTTATTAATAGTACAGTTTTTTTCAACAAAAAAATTGTTTTCATCTAAAAAATTACACACATTTCACTTGTAATACAATATAATCGATTGGAAAATACGAGGCATTAAAAAAGGTTAGATAAATATAAGTTTCCTTTACTTATTTTTTATTAATATAATAGTACAATAATACTGCACTATTAATTACTTAGTGGTTACTATTAATATATTTATAATTGTTTCGTAAAAATTTGCTAAAATATATCAATCAAGATATAGTATTTAGTATAACTAAACAAATTTACAATGAAAATACTAAATTACATAAAACAGAGAAATCAATTATTTTTGTAATCGTATTAATTGTATTTAAGATAACAATGTGTAATAATAATAATTTATTAAATAAATTAAATTGCATGATTGTTAATAAATTTAGAATAAATATCATAATGGGATAATTGTAAACATAAAATATCTTAAGACACCTTGTAATAAATATATAATTTTATGATATACATATATATAAATTTATATATATATAATTATTTGTTTATAAAATTTTAATTTAATTTTTATATGTTTTAAATTATAATTGATTAAATCATTTTTCACATATAATATAAAGTAAAATTTAATTTATTAAGTACCGTAATTAAAAAGATTAAGCATAACTATAATAATATAAATTAAAATTGTATCAAATAAGCAAAAAAAATTGTTTAATTAACTATAATAAATGTGATAAAATATTATATCATTTTTTATTTCACTGTTTTATCAATTTTTAAAAAATAATAATTAAATTCAATGTATCGATTAGATCAATTGAACAATATAAAATTTTAAAAGTTGTAACAATGTATTTTTGAAATGAATTGGTACCAAAATTTAGATACAGGTTTATTTTATATTTTATATATGATTTATAATTTATATAAACGTATTTATATTAACGCTCAGAAAGATTAATAAATTGATATTTTTTTTGTTAAAACTTAATAAAGTATTTCAAGTATAACATTAAAAAATAACACAATTTAATGGAAAATTTATTGAATTATTGTAATTGAAATTTATTTTATATTTTTGCTAAATGTTTGCCTAAAGTTTCTTATCAGTATAGCTAAGAAAAATCATTTACATATAAGTACTATTAAGTATATTTTCTCGTATTTCCTTATCATTGATTTTTTATGTAATTTAATTACTTGTTATTAATAATAACTAATATTATTACAAAACTACGAGTTTGCAGATAGGAAAGATTCACTATATTTAATATATAACTATAATAATAATTAATATAATTTAATATCTGTAATATACTTAAATAATATGACTTATTGTACATTCTATATGTATTGTTTAAATATTTTTCTAGTAATAAGTGATATATGGTATCAAATAAAAGATAAAACTATTTAAATATAAAATAAATAATTTACAAGAAAAAGTTTCAAGAAATAAATAAATGCATTAATAAACTAAATTATACTAAAATTGTAGATGTATCATAATTATAGATTTTTTTGTGTATTTAATTATTAATTATTTATAAAAATTTATATAAAAAAATTACTAAATTTATTTAATTTATTATATTTGTAAAAATAAATTTAACTGCTTTCGTAAATAATAAGATATTATTATATTTATCCTAAATTGTATTTTGTTAACATATATATATATATATATATTAGAGGAAAATTTTTACAATAAATTACTTGTAAGTTTGTAAATTATGCAATTTTTAGTTATACAATATAAATGTCAACAATAAAATCAGAAAATTATATATATATATTCAATTTATAATTTATGATTTGATTCTTAGTTATAAACTTATTGTATTTTTTACAAACACTTAACAACAATTGGTTTGAATTGATGCCATAAATATTACTTATCTAATACTAATAAATAATAAAAAATACAGAGAAAATTATCTATGAAATTAAATTATTGAATAATTGTGTCAATAGAAATACAACTGAGCGCGTCTACAGGTGCTTATTATAGTAACAATAAATTAATAACTAAAATAAATTATTAAATAATACATAATCAAAATCAATTAACGAATGTTTGATGTAAATGAAATTTCGCAAATCAATTAATTTATACAATTATTACAAATACACAAAAAACAAACAGTCAATCATTTTTTTATACAGTTGTGAAGTAATTATCATAAAAAGAAATTACTTTAACGTTTACGATATTATTAATGTTATGTAATTAACTGCTGCTTTAATTGTTGAAAACCATGTTTTTCAGTAATTTTCCGAAAAAAATATTTACTATTATTAACATT